CAGAGGATCTCGCGGTCGCAGAGCTTTCCTTCACCGCGGCCGCGACGCGCGCGAAATTCAAATTTTTAAATAAGAAAATTTTGTGATCGACGGGGGTATCATTCATGCTAGGTTTTTACTTTTTCTCATACTTTCTCTTCCCAAAACTCACTTTTTCTCTTAGTTTTTCTTTCTCTTATCATACTATTTGACGTAGAACACGGATTTGATTTCATATTTTTCTATTTTCTTTCAGATTAGTCTTGTTTATCGGATTATCATTCAATTTCCATTAATCGTAAGTTTTCTATACATTTAATCTTTGAGTATGTTTGCTTTGATTATGGATGTTTGTGTTGATAATTCGATTATGAGTAGCTAAATCCTTATGCTGGGGATAGGGGATTGATGTTTTGAATTCGTTTGCGATTATCATGTTCGTAATTGTTCAATTTGTACGAGTTGCTCTTTCTCTAGAGTTTTTCAATTATCAGGCTTGAATTTGAGAATTGTTGAAGGGTGACACTTCAACGTCCAATTATTTTAATTGAATTCGTTAATTCGTACATGATGTTGAAAATTCTAAACGGCTAGTTGATTCACCACCTTCTAGTCTTACTTAATCGACTCTTAGAACCGAAAGGGGAGGAGTCGGTCGAAATGAACTCGTATGAACTAGGCTTGTTCGTAACTGTATTGCCTAGGCGTTAAATGAATTGTTAATTTGTCGTTCAAGTTTGTTCTCTTGTTATGTAGAGTTATTGAGGATGAATACTTGAACGATAGATTATTCAAATCACTTAACCGAACAAGCACTTGCTTGATAATTGCATTTCGAACCAAACCGAATATCCTCGTCTCCCTAGCTTCTTACATTTTGCTTGTTCTACGTGTTAGCTCGCTATTTTAATTTGCGTTGTTTAAATTCTAGTAGTCGATAATTTGAAACCAAGCTCAATCTTTGATTTAGAATGTTTAGATATTTATGTCTTTTTGTGTGGTTGAATAAAAGCGCATAATATTTCGGCTGACCTTCCTCGAGAGACACGACCCGGTGTCCGAATCTTTTGATTCTACTCTAGAAAAATATTTATAACATTAACCATTCCGCTATGCGCATAGCGCAAAATCTCGTATGCCACGCGAAAACAAAACATGTTGAAGTACACTATCACTTCGTTAGAGAAAAGGTGCTCATAGGAGAGATTGAGATGAAACACATTGGTACGGAAGACCAAGTGGTGTAGAATAATAGTCTTATTATTATTATTATTATTATTATTATTATTATTATTATTATTATTATTATTATTATTATTATTATTATTATTATTATTTGTTTTTATTTATGTTGGTTTGGTGGACAAGTCAAGGAGTAGTGTTTATGGGAGCCTTATTTAAAGGACTCTCCCTCTTTTGTTATCTTCAGTTTATGATTGAATGAAAATAAGATAGTGTTGAGTTTTGCGTGTTTTACGAGAGAGTATCTCGTTTACTCATTTATTCTTCCCACTCGTATGCTTCCCTACATCAGTTGTTATCAGCAGTTAGTACGATTCGCGATGTGGCCGGGACGACAAGATGCCGCAAACGAACAACATGATGCAATCTTCTACGATCGGTTTCAACAGATTGACTATCGACTTGAAGAGTTGGATGTGCGTTTCACGGATTAGTTTGCCGATCTTTCGACGGGGATCGAGGATTTGCATTTGACGCTTAACAATGTGGTTGTTTAAGAATTGCAAATGAACCGCAATGGAGCTGTGGGCCGTGGCTTTCGCGGGTGAGACAGAGGCGGCTGTGGGGGACACAGCCATGTCGGGATGCCCCGGCAGCGGTTCCTACCACCTTTGAACGGCATCGAGGATGGCGATTTTACCTGGTCGGCTAACCAGTTGGCAGATCGACCACCATGACGAGAAGACGAAACCCCAAGTCAGCCCCGAGTTCAAGAGCAGCGGAGGATTGGAGTTCGTTTTGTACATGGTGGCGACCGCGACGACGAAGAAACCTTAGGTGCGGTTCGATTTTGCATCCAACGACGGACGGAGGAGTGTTTTGTTTACCAATTTTCGCATCCATATTTTGGGCCTGAACAGCCACAAGCAGGCTTTGACTTCGATGAGGCCACTGGCTTCGTCCATCGCCGCGCAACCGCAGGTTTCGACGACCAGCAGTGGCATCGTTGCAGGGGCTGGAGTTTCAGCGATTCCTCGGAGTTCGAGCCCGACGTGTGTGGTATCTATGACGATCTGCCAATTTTTTATGAGGAGCCGCCGGGACCGGCGGAAGAAGACATAAAGAAGAATTCAAGGCAGATAAAGTTGAAGATATGGGATGATTATGTTGCGGGAGAGGAAGTTTCAAGTGGTTCGGGTTCAGTAGCATCAGCTGAAAGAAGACGGAAAGAAGAATTCAAGGTTGTGGTCACGGAAGTTCAGGAAGATGGGTTGTTGAATTTTCTTGTTGTTAGGTCCTTTAATATTATCTAGAGAGTGATACCATTAGGGTGCGACATTCAACCATTGTGTTCGACAGGGGGAAACAACAGGGGATTACTACCATGGATTCGACTCCACACACCGGCCACAGGATCGCGTCGGCTTCGAGGGCGAAGCCTTCCGAACCGGGGGAGAATGGTGTAGAATAATAGTCTTATTATTATTATTATTATTATTATTATTATTATTATTATTATTATTATTATTATTATTATTATTATTATTATTATTTGTTTTTATTTATCTTGGTTTGGTGGACAAGTCAAGGAGTAGGGTTTATAGGAGCCTTATTTAAAGGACTCTCCCTCTTTTGTTATCTTCAGTTGATGATTGAATGAAAATAAGATACTGTTGAGTTTGCGTGTTTTACGAGAGAGTATCTCGTTTAATCGTTTATCCTTCCCACTCGTATGCTTCCCTACATCACCAAGTAACCGTTGTGTTCACCCAAAGGCTCAATTTTTCATAATTCGAAGAGTTCCGATCACGTCTGGAAGTGATTCAAGAAGATATCGTTGCTTAAGTTGAGAATTGAAAATCATCAACGACATTAATAAAAATTAAGATAATGGACAATTAAAGAAGCCTCTATAAAGTTACTCTTGTAAGTAAATAAATAATTAGTACTCAAG